CAGGATCATGACCTGAGCCGAAGGCAGTCGCTTAACCAACTGAGCCACCCAGGCACCAGGATGGGGTCATGTTTGAAAGGTCTTGCAATATCGTGGTAAAGAATTTGGAGGCTTTTTTTTTTTTTTGCTAGAGGTATGGAGATCTGTGGAAAGCAGTTCAGGGAGTGAGAAGATGGGATTTTCTTTTTAGAAAATGAATAGTAAGTAATAGATAGTAATAGAGGATCCAGCGGGGGCGGGTGGGGGTGCAGCCAAGTGACTCTTGGCAGAGGGCAACCAGTTGGGAGGCCGATGCGGCCGCTGGGAGCCGGACAGTGCCACGGGAGGAGGGACCGCCTTGGAATGGGGCCCATTAACCTGGTGATGCAGCATGTCTTCCTGGTTTGGTCAAAGGGAGGAGCTGTGGCCCCTGAGCGGCCTCTCTAGCACCCCTCCCAGCTGTCCCCAGGCTGCCGCCTAGTCGGGTGTGCTCTGCAAAGTCAGACTGGCTGTAATGTGAGCTCTCGCCCTGCAGAAAGGACGGTGCTGCCGCTGGAGAAAAAACTTGTCTAATGCATTCCAGAGCCAAAGAGAAATGCCTTTTAGATTACCCGCAGTTTAGGCCTTTCTCCACGGCTCCCCGTCTGTTGGGGAAGGTCTCAGAGAACAAGGAGGCAGGGGAAGCAGGAGTGAGAACAGGAAAGGGAAACCAGACGGGAGCAGGGGTCGGGTGGGGGGAAGAACTGGTCCCAGCAGATGGTAAATTCCAAGTTGCGGGGTGTGGGGGAAAGCCTAGGGATGCCTGCTCTGAGTTTTAGGTTCTGGAAGGTCCCTTTTCCCTCCCGCTCCCACTTTTTGGGAAGAGCTCAGTCACGGGTTGAGTGCTGGAGATGGAGCTGAAAGCTGGTTCGGCCACTGGAGGGAACAGGAAAGTTTTACCTCAGCGACACCCAAGGAGCCCATGGTTTAGTTTTGGGGCAGGAGTAGCCAGACTGGCAGCCTTCCTGGGCCCTCCGGAGTGTTCCCGGCACCCCACTGCTTCCCCCCAACCCCCTTCCCTAACTCCTACTCTTCCCTCTTCCAGGCCCTGCAACTGGTTCCTCTTTACCGACGTCCTGAAGAGGCTGAAGCTTTCCTCCAGGATCTTTCAGGCTCGGTTCCCGCACTTTGAAATTGCCACCTTGCCCAAGGCCGAGTTCTACCGGCAGGTGGCCTCCAGTCAGCTTCTGACCCCAGCCGAGAGGCCCGGAGGCATGGACGACAGATCGGCCCCAGGCTCCTCTGAGACTGTGGAGCTGGTGCGGTACGAGCCCGAGCTCCTTCGGCTCCTGGGGTCTGAGGTGGAGTTCCAGCCTTGGAACAGTTGACCAGGCCAAGGGCCGCTCCCTTTTCTTCTTTCTCCTCCCCCCCCCCCCGGGCCTTCCCCCCCCCCCCGAGCACCAGACTGCAGAATGAGGCAATAATACGGACCAACAAGAAGCCGCCTTATCAATGCCAGCATTAGTGACTGGATTTTTTTTTTTCCGGTTATGATTAGTTCTCATCTCCCTGTCATCGTCTTTGTTGTTGTGGTTGGTGATGGGAGTGGAAAGTTGAACTCCACATCTGAGGACAAGAGGTCCCGGGGATGGTGGGAGGTGGCGCCAGGGTCCATTGGACTGGCTTCCTTTGTGTGTGACCAAGACCACACCTGGGCGCTGGGGTGGCCTCGGCCTGTCCGGAGGAGAAATGAGAAAAGCCCAAATCTCTGAGCGACCCCTCCGTTCCCCTGTGTTCTTCTGTCTTCCATAGTATTTATTTTATTAGTATTTAATTTGTATTGTTTCATTGGTTTCTGATAAGTCTGTATCACTGTGACGATTTGAGACAACTTGTTGTATTGAGGGACTTTCTTCACCTCCTTTCTTTGTCTTTCTTGATCAGCTCTGGAGCTGCCCCCTCCCTCTGACAAAGTGACTCCCAGGTTTGTTTTCACCCCACTGGGGAGGGGGCAAGAGGGGTGGGGGGAGGGGGGCCCTAAGGACCTGTGACTAATGAAGGTGGCTGGTGCTGGCCTGGGGCTGGGGGGTTGAGGGTAATCCTGAGGCTTTGGTGCTTCCCCACCCCCCATTTTTCTGTTTCACCACCTGCCCTTTGCAGCAGCCCCACTATCTTGAGATTAGTTTTCTGGGGAGGGATGGATTGTGAGGGGGGGAGGGGTTAATGGGTCACTCTATTTGGGGAGAGTCAAGAATGGGCCTGAAGGCCAAGATCGCCCCCTCCTCACAGTTCCTTCACTGCTCCCCTCAGAGTGCACAATATGGGCTTGTACCCGCATCTCCACCCCCCTCCTGCAGCCACCCCACCCCCTCTGGCCCTCACCCTTTCTCGATGCTGAGCCTCTCAGCTCCCAGCCCTTGACCCTCACCTCTCCCCCTTGCCAGACTCAGTACCCCCTTCCTCTCTCCTCCCTGCTTCTCCCTCTGCCCCCCATTCTCCTTTGGAATCTGCAGAGGGCTCTGGGACAGATTGCCAGATGTGAGATCCAGGCCTCAGCTGTTTGCTAGGTGAGGGCAGGAGGTTGGGCTCCGCTCCTGCTGAGGGACCTGGGGCTGATTGTGGGGCCCTGCCAGGCCTCCCTCCTGGCCTCCTGCGCTGGGTTTGTTCTGGAAGAGAGAGGGAGGAGCTGGGGGGGCGGTTCCCTGTCCCTGCCCTGCTCTGTGGCATTGTCTTTCCTACTCTTGTTCTTATTTTTCTACCAATTGCTATTTTTTCCAAACAATCCTTGTAGAGAGTATGTACCATCCGAAGGCAGGAGGGCCTCGCTGTGGCCGGCTCTGGTTGGAGATGGTACAGTTTTATTGTACAGGTGCTAAAACAACAACAACAAAAGAAGAAAATGGAAAAAAAAAAAAAAAAAAAAAAAAAAAGGCAAAAAAAAAAAAAAAACACGTTGAGGATGGGACAATCTCTTTTCTGGAGACTCCTGACCCATGCAGGAGCATTGGTGGTTATTTTCTTTGTATTGTGTTTGTTCTTTGTTCCCAGGGGGAAGTTCTAGGCCCCCTTCTGTAGGACTGCTCCCCACCCCCACCATACTGCCCAGTTGGTTTTGAACAGCTGTTCTCCCTTTTTAAAAAAAAAAAATATATATATATATATATAAAGTTGAGGGGTTTTGGGTTTTAATTTTTTGGTTTTGTGGGGGTTCATGGTATTGTGTGGTTTATTTTATGTTTGCCTTTACCTTTTTGCATTTGGGTGTGTATTCTGGCTGCCCTTTATGTTTCATTTTAAGCAACTGGCTGTGGAGTCAAAAACACTTGCATACTGAAAAACCTGTGTCAGGGCTTCTGTCTCCTGTCTTTACTCTTCTCCCCGCATTGGCTCTTCCGTGGTTAAAACAGATGGACGTCCTGATGGGAAACCCCTGATCCTGCCTTGCAGTTTGGGTAGCACGAATGAGGACAAGGTGGCAGGGCTAGTGAACATTTGGGCCACTGGGGCAAGATCTGGAAAGAAAAGGCAGGGCAGGGGCACATCCTGGTGGGGTGCGGGGACAGGGAGCGGTGGGAAGAATGGACTACCTGCGTCCGTTGAGCCATGCATGCGTGTGCACGTGTGTGTGTGTGTGTGTGTGTTCCTTGTTTGCCACAGGAGTAGCAGGACTGGAAGGAGGAGCCCTCTTTTAGGCTGTAAGGAATGACCCTCTTTAACTCAAGATCACCTGCCTGCTGGCTCCCTTGCCCTGGGCCACCCACATCTGCATCTGAGCACACAGTCTCCTCACTCCCTCACTGTTGTGCCCGTGCTCCCCCTGCTCACCCACACAGTGCAGGCCTTCCATGGTTCTGGCTTCCTAAGAGCCAGCTACTATGGAGGCAAGATGCCCATCCTGGATTTTACACCTTTTCTTCCCATTTCTGAAAAACAGTGGTAGAAGCTCCAGTTCCTTCTGACTGCTGGCTCCAGAATGGGCCTGTTACTGGTTGAGGGGAAGGGGAGGGCTTGATAGGTCTGGGGTGTTTAAGCTATATTCTTAGGACCTCTCACTGTGGCTTAAGTCTCTGGGGAACCCTGTCAGTATACAGGTGAGGGGATCTGTGGGTCTGGCCAACTGGAGGCTAGCCAACCCCTGGAGTGAACTGTGAGCTGCCCTTAGCTCAAGCCCCAGGAGCACGCTTCAACCCAGGTCTTTCTGTCCAGGTGGAGGAACACCCATTCCTTTGAGCCACAGCATTAATCTTCCTCATTGGCCTTTGCTTACCCACTTTCTGATCTTGATGCTTCATGTTCCCAAATAACCGCATAACAGCACTGATTTTAGCTCAGTCCTCTGTTTGGAACTTGCAGTTAAGAAATCAGATATGTCAGTAGGTCACCAAAGCTATGTGGTGAGTGCAAGGATTCAGCTCAAAGGGATGGGCAAGAGCCCTGGGGTGGTTGGAAGGACTTCCTGGGAGAGGGTGCTCAGTTGACACTTCAGTAGAAAAACAGGAGTTAGGGGTGGTAGGGAAGAGTCTCAGCCGAGGGGACGGACAATCGGAGCAAAGGCTTAGAGACAAATAAGAGGGTAGTACGGGCAGGAAACCACAACCCACCTGAGTGTCACTGCAGCTGGAGGGGACAGACTGGGAGGGAGGGCGCAGGAGACCTGCCAGGCATGCCAAGGAGCACAGCTTGGACTTTTGCTTTAGGTGATGGGGAACCACGGGAAAACTTTGAACTGGGTAACAATAGAGGGTTTTTTTGGTTTTGTTTGAATAAACTGGTAAAAATGTGTTGGGAGGTGGGCCAGACGGAGAGGTAGAAAGGTAATTGCTTGAGATTCAGAAGAAAGGATGAAGGGAGAGTGGTGAGGGTACTTACTATAAGGCTTTCCACTTAAGGCAGAAGGGAAGATGCTGCGGGCAGAGTCAGAATGACCCCAGAGGAATGGGTGAGGGGCTTTTAGGGAGCCGGGGACAGCCATGGGCGTCTGGGTTTGGGTGTGTGGGCACACACAGCCCTTTATTTCCCTGCAGAAAGGAGGAGAGTTAAAAGCAAAACCAACCAGCAGTTCCTTGTTTTCTTGGCCTTTGGGATCCTTTCCTCACACCTTTCCTAGAGACCCCTCACTGCCCTTCTGCCAGGGTGGGAAGACCAAGGCAGGAGATTGGGGCTGTGATGGGCTCCGCATCCCTGCTCCAGACCGGAGTGAGGGCGGTGGCCTCCCTCTTATTGAAGGGATCGCCTCATCCTTCCAGTGCGGCCTAGGGGAAGGAGCCAGCTCCAGCACTTACCGCCAAGGCTGACCTCGGGTGAGAACCTAATCATTCTGTCTTCATTGCTCCATCTGCCAAATAGGGCTCGATTTACCCACGAAAGAAGGGAATCGTACTGAGCAAACACGGCTGTTTAGCTGAAGTTAGTTCCTCCTATGTGCCGAGGTCGTGGGCCTACTGTTTATGATGGTTTTACCAGAATGTTCCTCTTTGGGGTGCAGGGTTAAAGGGAGGCCCTGGTCAAGTCTCCGTATTTCTGCCAAAAGGACCATCTGCTCTCCATGCATCCCCATTTGGGTTGGAGGGGGGCGAATTGGGCAGTAAACCACCCCTTCCATAATCTAACCTGTAACAGGGGAGCTTGCTGAGTGTTCTATTGTGTCCCGCCCCTGCGAAGCCGTGTGTGTGTGTGTGTGTGTGTGTGTGTGTGTGTGTGTGTGTGGTGTGTGTGTGTGTGTGTGGTGGGTGTGTACGGTGTGTAGTGTGTGTGTGTGGTGTGTAGTGTGTACTGTGTGTGTAGTGTGCGGTGTGTGTGTGTGTGGTGTGTAGTGTGTGTGTGGTGGGTGTGCATGGTGTGTGTGTATGGTGTGTAGTGTGTGTGCGGTGTGTAGTGTGTGTGTGCGGTGTGTAGTGTGTGGTGTGTGTGTAGTGTGTGGTGTGTGGTGTGGTGTGTGTGTGTGTTTTAGGGGGAATGGGGTCCGCCCCAAGGGCGGCCTGCTTAGCTGCCCAGGGGAGGTGCCGGGCTCGGGCCTTCTGGACACCCGGCAGCAGAGCGGGCCAGGACTCCACGTGTTCTCCTAGACCCCGGGTTTCCGCCCCGAGGGGGGCTGGCACGCCGCAGCGTCGGGCCGCAGGGTGCGGACGCCTCCCCGGCCCGGCACCGGCCCCGCGGGGAGCCCGGACTCACGCTGAGGGCGTTCAGGGCCCTCCGCTGGCAATCGGACGCCGCGCTCGCTCTCCGATTTCCAGGTGGAAAGCGGCGCCTCGCGGGCGTGCAGCTAGAGGCAGGCCGCGGTGGGGAGGCGGGCCGGGCCGGGCGCCCTGCGGCTGGGGGGGAGGGAGGGCGGCGGCGGAGGCTCCCTCCCGCCACCGGGGAAGAGCGGCGGCCGGCGCGCCAAGCCGGGTCCACCGCGTGCTCACCTGCCGGTCCCGGAGGCTGGGGGAGGGGGCCGCGGGGGGGCGGGGCCGGGCGCGGCAGGCCAATGGGGAGAGGGCGTTCAGCTCCCTGCTAAATTCTCCCTGGAAAGTGGAGGGGTGGGGAAGTTCGAAGCTCCGGGGCCGCGCAAGGCTTTGGTGGGGGCCGGAGCCGCCCAGGGACAGTCGGGGGCGCAGAGTCGGGACGGAGGCACGGGAAGACGCCGGCCCCACCCCAGCCGCCTCTCCCTTCCCGGGCGCTCCTGCGCCGGCAGCCCGCCATGGCCAGCTCGATGGCGCCACCTGCCGGACGTTGGTCCCCACGTCCGGCGCGCCTGGGGCCGGGGCTCTCACAGGCTGCGACCTTCGGGGCCTCGCAGGCGTGGGAGCGGCGGGAGGAGAACGAGCTCACCCACCTCGGGTCCAGCAGCTTTGGAACCAGCGACAACCGAACCGCCTCTTTAAAAAATACCTTATGGGGTCAGAAAGACCTATGATGGTGGAAATAACTTCTCGCCCCGCCCCTCCCATCGGGCCTGACATTTCGGCCACTGGGTTCCCCCCAGGGGTGAGGAAGCAGTGCCGCAGCTGTCCCGGGAAGGGGGCGGGGCGAAGGACGGG